AATTATGAAAAACCGCAAGATTCTTATACTGGTTCGTATGCTGGTTCTATTTTTAGTATCTATTTCTACGTATCGATTTAACATCTGTATTAAATATCCGTCTCTTCAATTTTTCGATAAATTCTACCGAGCCTTATATTGTTACTATTTTTAGTATCATTGACAGGCACGCTAACACTAGTCCAGTCTCTCCGACTAGATGCGATCTATTCGGTGAGATTTGGAAGAAAACATTCGAAGGTTCGTGGCGCGAGATCGCAGGGAAGTCTGACCGAGGGGACTGTAATATCATGCCGAGACTTTTTCTTCGGTGTTGGAGCTGTGGAGGGCAGGTGGTTGAACGAACGACGGGCCCTGCATAAGTAGGTTCCCAAAATGTCGATGCAGGTCCCTCCGCCGCTACGATCGACGCGATTTGTGAACAGTGGGGACTCCTGCGGCGCGGTCTGTCGCGCGGCCACGTGTCCGGACGCACAAACTAGTTAGTCACAAAAATCTCGGGGGTCCGCATTCCTGCCGGGCTTATTAATCTCGTCAACCTCCGCCGAAAATAACGCGTACCTCTCTCGGTGTGTTACCCCTAGCCTAACCGCCGACAAACCGCGACAAAACATTAGACGGGAGAGATTTGTCGCGCAAATTATTGACGCGGATAAAAATGATAAAAACGATCTATAACCGCTCCGGTAATAGAATCTCATTGTTTTAATGACAGGATCGATTAAGGGGAGAAAATCTATCGAAAATAATTCGAAGATTCTTGTGTGTTTCATCAGTGAAACTATCGTGACGAATATTAAAACAGGTATCGGCAGGCTAATAAGTCTCAACATCTGTCTCGCCGATTTTGCGAGACACGTGTGTCAAAATATAGAACGTTAAGGAGAAACCGATTGTTCTGATAAAGGTCAGAGTTTAATATATCTCCGATCTTCCGCACGCCCTTTTCCCCGGATAAACCGTAGAATTTCCGTTCTTTCAACAGAGTGGCACAAGGCGCGCGCGTACATCGCGCTGCAGCTTCGACGGTACGTGAGAGCGAAGAGTAACGAGAAGAAAACTTACGAGTCAACGCGTGTAATCCCGCGGTTCTTTAATTAAAACGGCCGACCGACCGACCGACCGACCCACCGATCGACCGGCGACAAGAAATAAAAGGCGCGTCCGGGTCTTCCTCACTGTGCAATTTCTGCCGTCGTAACGGTACCACCCGACAGATTCGTCGGCGGAATCGCGAAATTCGATCTCCGCGGGTCGCGCCGTCGTACCGCGGCCTGATTTACGAGACCGCCGCGCGGAGACCCCGCCCTTCATTTCCGTCACTCGGCCTGTCCGATTTTTACCTGCCTCGATTCCCGACGCATTATCTAACCGCGCGAACGACGGTTTCGCGCGGCCTCCTCGAGCCCGGCGAGAATTATCTCATCCGAGAAAACCGCCGTTTGCCGCGCGTGTATCACGTTAAGCCTCGCCACGGAGCCTTCGCTTCTTTTTTTCCCGCGGAAAGGCTCTTATCGCCCGAACTGTTTTCTTTCTCTCGGCGAACTTTGCATAAACAGATCGACGTCGAGAAAGAAGGAAGACGAAAGGAAACGAGAGAAAGAGAGAGAGAGAGAGAGAGAGCGATCGATCGGCCGATGGATCGCGCGTGGATCGGTGACGTCGGACTCGCTCGGTTTCCCTTTATCGACACGCCGGAATAATTCGACGCGACTGAGAAACGGCGCGATAAGTCCCACGCCAAGTGCATCGTTAGATTTAGACGACGCAAGGTCGACGCGCGACGTCCATGCGAGACGCGTTTAGCCTTATTTACGCTCCTTCAGACGAAGTGAACGAACGACATGGACGTCCCCCCGCGACTCGTTCCACGCTCGCGAGTGCCCGCTCGCTTATCCGCGCGACGACTTCTGCCGCTCTCGCGCCTCGGGAGCTCTCGCGACAATGGCCCGCCGATCTTTCCAATCGAATCTTACGCGAGGCAGCGATCCCCCTCTCCCCGGAGAGATATTCCAGTCTATTTGAATCCGTTCGAGCCGGCCGAATCGATCGGGTATCACCTTAAACACGCGGATTCCGCGATTAAGGGAAACGCCGAGGGACCGGTGACTTTAAAGTCGCGAACGATCGAAAGCGAAGGGCTCTTCGCGAACGGATAGCGTGCGAATCGCTTGTTATTCGTATTCTTTTCTTATTCTTATTATCATTCGTATTCATTCGCTTATCCTCCCCGCGTCGAGGTAAGATCGGCTCCGAAGAGGAGGAGCCCGAAGTCGATGGAAGCTGGGGCTAGCCGCATTCGATACACTCTGTAAACGCGCATTCCTCGCGTCGATTCTTTCATATCATAATAACATTCGCGGTAGCATTAGATCCGCCCCGTTAAGTTCCGCCAATACATCAAGATAATTTTACGGGATGCAGAGATAGAGTGAGAAAGAGAGAGAGAGAGAGAGAGAGGGAAAGAGAGGGTGAGGGAGTAAAACGTGAATCAAGACTGGGTGTATGGCGTTAGCAGAACGTGGCGAGAGCAAAAGGCACACGCGAGCGAATGTACATTCCGAGTGAAAAATTTGATCGATCAGGTTCAAGTGTATTTCCCAAAATGTCTCATTTTTCTCACAATCACTCGCTTCACTTTTCGATTGCCATATAGCATTATTGTGGGCATAGTAGGATCGCTTCTCGAACGGTCTAAAATTCGAATCCTTTCAAGATTTCAATCCTCAAGTTATTTTTTCAAAGATACACATGGGATGATACTGATAAGATTAAATACTGAATCATTCCGTATTTTAAAAATATCTATTAATATTATTTTTGACTTACATAAGAATGTCCCTTCGAGTAATTGGCGAAAATACTAATTTATATGTAAAAAAAAATTGAGCAATTGAGTTACATTTGTCTTAACATTTTAAACGATTTTAATATAATTCTTAACTATAATTTTTAATATCATAATATCTTAAATACGCCACATGCAGCAAAATATTTCATTTACTCTTACGTAGCCGACGTATCATTTTGGTAAAGCATAATGTTTTCAGTTGGCATAATTTTCTGGCGTCCCTGTAGAAAATCTAGCACGCGCGATTACAAATGCACTCCGATAACCTGACACTTCATTAAGCGAATCTCCTCAGAGCAGCTCGTTCGCTGATAAAATCTCGGACGCGCTATAAATCTCGATATCCTTCTAAACGCGACTTTGTGGAACAGTGTATGATTATCGCGTAATTACCGAGTCGAAAACACAAAAATCGTTTAGGAGGCCGTGACGGATGCAAGAGAGATCCTCCGGAAGTAGATAATTAACGCTTGTTACCTGCTCAGCCGAACCGATGCGCCCGGTCGATTATTTGAAGATCGTTCCGGCGACCTCGCGATTTCAAGCGCTCCGATGATTTATCTTGTGAATGGCTTACCGTTTAATACCCTGCTATTGGATCGTTACGCGTGTATCTCGTTTTCGCGAATGTTACGCCACGTAGGCTGACTCACGCCGGATCCGAGTTATATCTTCGGAGGTATACGATACTTCTAGCTACTAAATATCTCCTAGACAATACCGGCGATTGTTCTACGCATTGAAAAAAGATTTGGTAATAACCATCAAGCCTGGATCATAGTTACCGAATGCTTTTGCGAAATAGTTTTAATTAGATGTAAGATGAATATAACCAAATAATATAGTGAGAATATCAACAAATAATCTTAGCAAGGCTTAATATTTATTGCCAAGATTTGGTAATTACTAATAATTTATTACGCGGTACGTATCACCAAACTGTTTGTTGAACAAAACTATATTGTTTAATATAGTACCACAGTTAGTACATTTTGTGGACAATAGTAAAGGATTATCAGATGATTTAATAATAATTCCCAAATGCTTTGATAATTATCAAATTACAAATATTGGGTATTAATTACTAAACAATTTAATTAATTCTACTTCTTCCAAAATTTATTTTACTAATTATTATATGATCATTACCACATAATTGATAACTATTATCGCATTTAATATTAATTACCAAAAATTGCACTGGAACGTTCAATCGAATGCAACTTGTTAACTATTATGAGATTTTTTTCAAAGTGCAGTGTAAAATAAAAAAAAATATTTTTGTAAATAAAATTAAAGTATAGAAAAAAGACAAATAAGAACCAACGCTAGTTGCTGCTTGCGATGGACATTTAACCCATTAGCTGCCACGATCCCCATTTGGGGCTCGAAACAAAACATAATTTGAATATAATTATACCGTTACACAACTTTTTGTGCATATATATAACTTATCTGGCCAAAAATAAAAATAAAAATTTGGCGGTTAATAATATAAATTTGTCAAAAATGAAAAACGCAACATAAAAAGCGAACGTTTCGGTCATATCATTTTGACTCTCTTCAGCAATATATACTTGAAATGAATTAGAATTAAAAGTTATGCAACAAACAAAACTAAAAAAAAAAAAAAAAAGAAAAAAAACTAAAACATCGTATCTCCGGATCTAATTTGATATGATGGTGAGCATTGAACTTCTGGTCTTGGTGTAAAAACGCTATCTTGCATTTAAATCTAATCATAGTTTTATTAACATCGATCTGTAAATACAGTTACGCGGATTTATAGACATGTTTGTCGTCACTCGGATTATCTCAAGGAAATCCAACGGAGAATTCACTTTCGCGATAATCCTCGCGATAAGGAAGATTCTTATAAGCTGCGTGGGGCCGTTTTTAAACTGCCGGAGATTGCAGTGTCGTTACAGTAAGGTGTCCGATAAATATCACGACGAGTCGGAAGACGACTCGACGGCGTGATTGGGCGAAACGTGCGACGTCAGCCGCACGAATCGATATCGGACCGCGATAATTCGCGAGATAAGTAATTATACGCCCTAATCAATGCGTCATTGTTGCACACTCGATTCATCATTCACGTCGACGATTAGCGACGTGCGGAAGCTCGCTGTTGCTCTCTCGTCTATACCTGAATGTATCCCGCCGTCGACGTCCGCGTCTTCGAAGACGGGCGACTCGACGCACTCGTCGTCGGCGACCGCGGCATCTTCGGCGGTGTCCTCGTCCTTGTATCTGTCGGCGTTGGTTTTCTCGACCGTGCCGGGGCTGTCCACCGACGCGTGTCTACCGATTCGCACTAACGTGCTGTTGCTCCTCGCCAACTTGGTGCTGTGCGTCCTGCGGATCAGCAGGTTCGTCAGGGTTGTGTTCTGCTTGCTCTTAGACTCCTGCTGGCTGAATCTGTATTCGCGCGCGGCCGACTTCGAGGTCGGCTCGACCGATTTCTCCTCCGTGTTCTCCGACTTCTTCCTGCCGGCGTGGTCCTCCACCTCGAAGCAGGCAATAGTGTTGTTCAAACGGCTGTCTTTCCTGCTGGATTCCTTCCTGCCGGCGAAACGGCTCTGGAAACGCTCGATGGTCTTGAAGGACCTCGTCCTTTCCACCTTCTTCCTTTGTTCGGCCTGCGTGGCGGATGTTGCTCCTCGGTCGCACCTGGACGCCTCGAAGATCCTCGTCAGGGATTGCACCTTGCTGCCTCTCGCCTCCGGCATCGCCTCGTCCGCGCTTCTCCTCGCGCTCGCCGAGACGCCGTCATTGCTGCTCAAGGTGCGCGTCAGTGAGCCACCGCCGCCGCTCGGCGCGCTGGCGGGCGTCTTGGAGGCGGCGCCGATGGGGAAGGTGTTGCAGACGAACTTCTCGCTGCAGCCACCGTCCGTCGAATGGCCCTTCGTCAGTTTGCCGACCGGCTGACGCGCCGGCTCGCCGCCGTCCAGCGACACGTAGAACGTGGACCGCCTCTTCGGTGACTCTTCGGGGTTCTCGGCGTTCAGCATGACTCTTCACATTTCCCGAGTTTCGCGCCGATGTGGCAGCCGCGCCCCTCACGTCTTCTTCGTCGTCGTGCTCGCGTTCATGTTACATCCGAGTTGGCGACTCGACCAGCACGGGCAATCACGCTACAATGTATCTCTCTGTACGCGCGAGGAAAGAACGCGAATTTTCGACCGGCCGGCACGCTTCTTATCAACCGCCTCGATAGCCGCGTTATCTCGATACGAGGCAACAGTATCGCCACCGGCTATCACACGCCGCTCGGCTATTTCAGCGCGCACGTGGTGCGCACTGCACTATACGTCACACCGTCGCTGTTCACTCAGTGACCGGCGTGTGTGTACGCATCGGGTGTCCCGAGAATACCGACTCGGTGTCAAAGGTGTGTGCCGCGACGTTATGCGGAGGAGGGACACGCCTTCGCCCTCGGAGGAGCTGCGGATTAACCCAAGAGCGAGAGCTTGAATCGGGTGCATAGGATCTTCAGGGTCGCGGTAATAACAATGATTACGTCCCGCGCGTCTCTCTCTCTCCCACCCACGATCGGATCGGTTTCCCGCGAGAGACGGCCCTTTCGAGAGATCGCCGGGTCGACTGGGTCTCCTCGGGATAGCCGTCCGTCTCCTTCTCTCCTTCGACGGCGCGACGTGCACGCGCTAAATATAGACGAACTATCGCGCGGCGTCGAAGGCAGCGAGAGAGACAGCACGTGCGTCGTAACGACGTGCCGCGAGACGAATATCAGCTGGCTGCGTTATCCCCGCGCGCCGATACAACCCGAAGATGACGCGAGGCGTTGAACCGTGAACGCGACTCCACCGTCGTATCCTCCCTCCTCTTCGTGGCGTTGGCGGCAGCGGAGTCGTCGTCTCTTCCGCGAAGGAGGTCTTTTCTCTTCTGTTTTATACACGTTTTATCCACGCTCGTACTTTACGCCTCTTCGCGTACTTCGTTCCGGCGAAGTCGACCTTCCTCCGTGAACTTTCGAGAACTCTTGAGAACTCTCTTTCTCTCTCTTTTGTATCTCTTATGTGTATACTTCGTGCGCGTATGTTTTATTTGATATATACGTTCTTGCGTGCACACTTCGGACGGATCTCTCTTTCTATAGATCCGTTCCGGCGAGAGGATCGAGTCAAAAGGAAGTCGGAGCGCGATCGGGAGAACTTGAGAGACGCGGAGATGGGATTCGTCGTCTCAGAAGAAATCGATGGGAAAGACGACGCTCGCGGAATCGCCGTCGGTGGATAGGACGGGCGGTTGGAATTGTTGGCAAATCCGGTCGAGATTTACGATCGCGGCGAGAGAAGTCCGAGTCTCGGTCGAAGGGACTCTCACGACGATTTATGGGAGCGGGATTATAATTCACGGGAGAAAAAACGCGAGGTGTGCGCGCCGGCGGCCCGTAATCTAGCGTGGATCACGAAGAGACACACACAGACACACACACACATGTACCACGGGGTGCACGAAGTTAACACGCTCGACGATCGTGCTCTCGCGGAACGCACTTGATTACTCGCGGTCTCTCCCATCCAGTGTTGTGTTGTCGAGTCGCTCGAGGAGCGCGCACACGCTCCGAAAACACAGCAGCGTCACAGCACAGGGGCCGTCCCTCACCGAGACGACACTCGCCGCGAGAAACCGCGGGAGCCGAACTCGAACTATCCGGGAACGAGGCGGTTCACGAAGGCGCGCTCCGAGTTCCGGCGCGCCGTCCTCGCGGCGAGTCCTCGGCGGCTGCGCCGAGAAAAGTAAGAGGTACGTTCTCTGAGTCACGGCGATCCGGCTCTCACGATCGTGCGAGAGAGCTGGCGAGACCGCTTCTCTCTCTCCCTCTTTCGGTCGCAACGTCGCGTGCTCCACCCGCGCCTGCCAAGGGAGAGAGAGAGAGAAAGAGACCGATCGGAGGGAGAAATGCGAACCACCGACGACGAAGGCGGGAACGCGAAGTCACGCGTGTTCCTCCTCGCGTCGCTCTCAGTTAGCGCTCCCGAGGAACGCGCACACGCTGCGAACGACGACGTAGACGCGATCGGTCCGCACCGCGGACGGACTCACGGCTATCTGGCACGCCGAGCTCGAGTTAATCCGAGCAGCCCGCGAGCGCACCCTATCGGCGGTCTTCCTCGACGTGCACGAGGGACAGAGGGAGACGGAGAAAGACACACAGAAAGAGAGAAGAGGGAGGGGGAAGAAAGAGAGAGAGAGAGAGGGAGGGACCGCTGAACGGAGAATCGACGACGAGTGTACGCTGCGCTCGACTAGACTTCCAGCTGGAGTCGTTCGGTCGCGATGACGACGACCCATGACGCCGTGCATAGGAAAGAGACGATTTTCGCGTAATTTTCATTAGACCAAGCTGAATTTTATCGATAAGAAATATCTTCGTCCGAACCTTACGGCTCCGTTGGATCCGCGCGTTACGGCTGCTTGTTCGCCGCTGTTTTTCACCCTTTTCGCGTGCGGCAATCTACGATATTACAGCTCCGCGAAAGTGTTCCGATAAGGGGCCACCGGCAACGAGAGTGTACGGTAATTAAGGCGTAATGATAACCGGAGAGGCAAGTCCGAGAGATCTTTCGTAACAGCGCGCTAATTGTTGCGGGCGTGCGATACAAAGCGTTTCCATCGCTCGCGTTAGAAATTTCGATTGCGACCTCGGCTAGATTAATATTGCGTGCGCGCAGGGAACCGCGTGAACTTCCGCAGTGTTGCCCACACACACACACACATAGACAGGTGATTACGAAAGAAAAAAAAATCTAAACGCAATATCGCGAGTAAAACGCGATCTTATTGCGTGGGCGCGACGATATGTTGCATCGTCCACTCGACATTGTTGCACGAGAATGTCGTTATCACGAGAGAGAGTCGGAAACGTGTTCCCGAACGGCTCAGGTTGTACGGGCTGATTGCGTGACGCAAGGAGAACGTTTTGCTATCGGCGCGACGTGCGTCTCCGGCTCTTCTCGAAAAACCGCAGCCATTTTCTGCGGTATGTTAAGCGCGTATTGAGGAAAATCTGTATGACTCAACCCCGGAGTCCACGAGAGAGCGATCACGTCCGTAACTGTTTTCTTCATCCCGCCGTCGGTTCCGCAGGCCGCTCTATTTCGAAACTGGTGTAAAACCGATGGTTTACGATCACAATTTTCATACCACGAAAACCGCAGGCATCGCAGGCGGCGAGCGCGAAAGCGGAAGCGCAGCGCGCGCAGAGACAGCGACGTCACTTGCGACGGGTGGCTTAATGAGCGCGAATTCGCGCTATTCCGAGAGAACGGGGTATTTCTGTCATCCTGTATCCCCCCATCCGGTCCGTTTGTCTGTTTTCTATTAAATCCCGCTTGGGTCTATTTCCGTAATAGACGGACAAAGCGGTGTGACGCGGCATATTCCTCGGTCGGGGAAATGCAAGAGGGAAAATGCGAAATCCGACCTTCCACCAGTACGAGGAAGAACCCGGGCCGTTGGATGAAATCCGGCGAGCCGAAAGAAGGGAGAAGGGATACCACCGCCTCGATAAATAACGTCGGCTCAGCGTTCGCGTCCCGAAACGGCACTCTCGTTTCTCGAAAAGCAAGCCTCTAAGACGGCTTAAGGCGATTTACGCGACACCGAGAAGACCGTGGCTCGTCGTCGACAAAGAGCTTTTTCGAATTTCGGATTCAGCCCTTCCGACTGAGCCGTGGATTTCATCATCCGGGCTTAGCGCTAAACGCTAGAGTCTCTGGGACATCGTCTTCTTCGAGTATCTCTCTCTCTCTCTCTCTTTCGCGAGTCTCGCGGAATATATCCACGAATCGAATCCGAACTCGGATGCGAAATCACGTTCGCGTTCGTAAATATCGCGTGGAATTTCTGAGGGGAGATTTCTCGGCTGGAGATTCTCAAAACAGCCGCTGGAAAATTCATGAACTCCTCCTCTCCTCCCGACTGTGCTCGCGAGATGCTTCACGGCGCGTTACAATGAGCATGCACGCGCATTTGCATTCGCTTTTATGCGGATTTTTCTCCGTATCGCCTCGCGATAATTAATTTAACGCCGGCCTGCAATCGGAGAAAATGCGCCGGCTAAAGTTGCGCTGGTCGAAAGCAAACTCGTGTGAAAATTTCACTTTTACGCGTCACTCGCCCGGCGGCCCCGTGGCTCACGCAATTTTCTCGGCCTGCTTCTCCCCTGCTATCCGCGTGGCCGAGCGATCGGCAAGATTGATTCTACGTAGATCGCAGATAGGAATCCGCGAGTCGCTCGCGGCACCGTGAAGCACACAATTCTCTAAACGACGCGTATAAAGTTACACGCGCCGCGACGATCGAGTCCAACCTTTACGGCGGAAACCGCGAGTTTGAACTTTCGGCGGCGTCGCCCCATGCGTACACGGCTAATCGGCATTTGATTTCATAATTAGTTCCGTGCGAGTTATTTCGCCTGGAGAAAACCGGTGCGAAAATACAACGGAGTATCCGTTTGTCTCTCGCTTTAAAGCAACGCTGCTCTGGCTCTAGGGCGACTCTCCTTTCACTCTCGGGGCAACTGGAGCCAGTCCGATTTTTCCCCCCGGCAGATCAGATTTATAGATGTCAAGTGTAATTGTGCTAATCAGAATACGCCCGCGTGCATAATCGGCGACGTATTATCGTTTCTCGATCGGTTCAGCGAATCGCGTGTAAACGAGATATATGAAAGACCATTTGGCATTTAACAGGCGCGTTTTCATTTTTTTCTCAATTAGCTTATTTAAATTAATTAGATTTATCTCAATCAGACGGGAAAGACAATTCCGTGGGTGTAACTCGGCACGTATCATAGATTTGTTCGGAATCCGATCGGAAACCTTTAGTTACTCCCTAGATTTTCTCTTGTATTTTATAGGGAATAATTGAGTGATCCCGATTGATATCGATTCCAGTCCGTGATACGTGCTCCGAATTTTCTATTGCCTGGGAACTAGACGAAAATTCGGCTCCGGAATGTTCCCAGCAGGAGGTTTCTACTCAGTTAATTGTTCGCAACCGAGTTTTCATGCAGCTGAATGTTCACACGAATATTCTCAGTCGCAGTAACAGATATAGCACTTCTTGTCACCGAGTTTTCATCTGGTCCCTGTGTTCTGTCGTCGAGTCCTCTCTTTCCGTGTAGATATGTTCCAGATTGTCGAACCGTTCCGAGTGAAGATTGACGAATTTCCGGCGCTGTCTGAACGCGTTACCGAATAATCCGAACGGGATCGACCGTCACTTCGGGCGAGTGAACGCACGATACTCCGGAGAAATTCTAAGATATGACGAACGGGAGATTAGGAAATCGTTTTTCTCTAGCGTTATTGCATGTTAATGCCAAACGGGAACGGCTGACACGGCAAGTTTCGTTCCGTGTCGCAATCGCGCGATTTCCGCGTCTCGCGTGACACGATCGTCCGCGACACCGCTCTAATTGCGGTAATGAGCTAAATCCGAGTTGAAGCAATGCGCGAGATCCGATTGCGCTTTCTTCTTCGTGCGGGCAGCCGCCGCCTAAAATGAATAATGACGCGGGGCAGAACGAGCACGGATGCAATTGCAGCGGCAAAAGCGAGCAATCTCGAGGGCCGCGTGCGCGGTGGATCGCGGAGAGGATCCTTTCGCGTTGCTCACACGCGGCACGCGGGAAATTTCATTTCGCGCGGTACGATCGACGAGAGATCCGAGCTCTCGGATTTATTACAGCGAATACGATAGCGTTGCTCGCGCGCAGGAAATTCCATTACCGCGTGCGAGCAAGCAGGATCGATCTCGCTCCTGCAAGGATGCGCCTCGACTTTCCACGATTGCAGTTGCGGCCGCAGTTGAAGTCGCGCCGTCGTATCGAGCGAGTTCGACTTTCGACGGAAATTTCAATGCGAGATTCACCCCGGAGAAAGGATCGACGAAGAACCGGAGGAGAAAATGCAGCGTTTTTTTTTACGCAAGCTGTAACTTACCAGCGCTCGCTTTTTCAGCGAGCGTTCGCGCGAAAATGCGGAAAAGGAGCTCGAACGAAGAGTGAGCGAGTACCCGTCACAGCACTCCGCGGGTTCTTTGTTAGACGCGAAACGCAATTAGCATTTTACGACGACGACGTCTGCGGGTGAAGCGCACTCGCGAAGCACGTTTCCGTCGTCGCTACTTATCTTCCTCGCACCGACGGCCGAGCACGTGCCTTTGAAGCCGACGTTCGCAACATCCACCGAGCATCTTAACGACTCGCGCTTAAATGACCTGCGGATAGCGCCGATCGTCGGCTTTGCGAATCAACACTCCTCTCTTCCCCATACGGCGAATAATAAGACGATCGGTCGAAATCAAACAACACTTGCGAACTCGCATTTGCGACTGGTAACGCGACGAGTCGGCGAGAGAAGTTGTATTCGAGGGCGCAATTTTCGCGATGAACAGCCGCTCGTAATGAGACGGGAACGATCGCGACAGGCGCGCGCGTAATCGTAAAACGCACGAGGGCGGGCGTAAAAAGACGTAATAGTGAAGTCTGAGAAAATCGTGAGATAGCAGCCGATCTTAGTGAAGCAATTAAAGACGTTAAGCGTAACTTCTTACATACATACGTGCGCGCGTTATCTTTCGCATCGCCAGGTTCGACGCAATGGGTATTATCGAGAGGCACCCTTGACATTTCGATACAAGGAATATGATTGTTGTAATTATCTATTAATTAAATAGCATGTCGAAGATGATTAGGAAATAAGTGAGTATCGAAGACACGAGAGAAAGCAACAACCTGTACTTAACGTAAAGTAATATACAATATAAACGTGCCATATGAGCAGCTCGTCAGGATGTTTTTTTTTCTTTGCAGTTCTAACGGACGCGCTTTGTCAGTGGGTCGGTGCAAAAATATTTGTCGTTCTTTCTTTCAAATCCAAACCAGAAACTTATCGTTTCGCGTAATAAGGAGAAATAGAGGGAACATTGTTAGATGTCCGAAGAAATATTAATTCGCGATATTGTTTATTTTAGCGAAAGAAATTATTAATGCTTCAAAATGAGATAACTTTATTTGA